GCTTGTAGGAGGTGGGGCAAGGGGCAAGGGCGGGCTACCGCAGTACTTGGGTCGGTCCGGAGCGGTAGCAGAGGGTGTCCGGCTGCCCAGGGCGGGTGGGACAGGGGCACGATAGAATGCCCCCGGACTCGCGCCTCTGTATGGGGGCAGCTGGCGGCGGCAGGTGCCGGGGTGTGAGAGAGACAGAGAGAGAGAGAGAGAGAGAGAGAGAGAGAGAGAGAGAGAGAGAGAGAGGGGCACGGAGTGCGGCGGATCCGCCAGCAGTGTGCTGGAGCGGACAGGGATATGGCCACTCCCCGTCCGACCCTTTGCAGCTCGCAGCCAAGCTTCCGCCTGTCTTATCATTATCTTTCTCGCACATAATGCCCTGTACTCCCCACTCCCTCCCCCCCCTCTCTCTCTCTCTTGTTGGCCGCCTGCCCGTGTGTCTGCTCTACGACTGCCACATAGCTGCTTAAACCACGATATTCGGCGTTGACCTGATTCGCGCTGCCCTGCTGCCGCTCTCTCCCAACCACCCCTCCTCCTCCACCTCCACCCCTCCCCCCCTCGGCTAGTGGTGGCATCATCGGGTATAGAGAGACACCTCGCGGCACCAAACGGCGCCGTTTGAAACGCGCGCGCAAGCACCCCCCCCACACACACACACGCGCGAGCTGAACAGCTGGGAGTGACCAGGCACACGGGATAAATCTCGCGGTGTGAACCTGTAAGTTTCTCAGGGGGGCGCCGCGGGGGCCGCTAGCGACCTGTACCCATTGGCAGCTGCACTTTGGCCGCCCGCCAAAGCAGTCGTATGATATACGCCCACCTGGCGTGGCGGGGCGTGGCGGGGCGTGGCGGGGCGCGGCGGGCGCTGTGAACACGTAGGTCAGTGCACGCCATCTCCAAACGAGGAGGGCTATTCCTAACTCTGGCCTCGACACCAGTCGGTCCGACCCAGTGGCGGTTTTAGTATGTGTGTGTGTGTGTGGGGGGGGGGGGATAGGCCCATGGCCTAGCTGCTGCGGCTAGGCACAACAACTTGATCTCGGCGGGTGGCCTCTGCTGCTGGGACGCAGGCCAGAAATATTCTGCAAGTCTAACAAATCAAGGAAAGCGCGGGTAAAGAAGTTCCGCCGCCCTCGAGCATGAGCAGGGCACGCCACGGCCACGCTGCGCGTCTCCTCCCCAGGGAGGACATTCATAGATACCTTTGATATACTAGTATTTACATACAATAAACCGCAATGCACCTGGTGACTACGTGAAGGCTGGTCCAATGATGCCATCGCATCGCCGAGTTGTCTTTGGGAAATCTTAGGAAAAGGGGGAATACCTTGGCTTTATCTCTCTTAAGTTCGCGTCCGGCGAGGCGGCCCGAGTATCTGAGCATCGCTATCAGTCGCCTGATAGCAAACGCGGCAGCACGCCCAGCCAGAAACGGCCGAGACTCGGCCACCGTCAGGACCATAGACCAGCAGAGCAGAGCCCCACCGCCGCCATGGACTGCGACATCTGCCTCGAGGACTACAACCAGGTGGAGCGCGTGCCCAAGATAATGCCGTGCGGGCACACCGTGTGTCTGCGGTGCCTCCAGCGGAGTGACAGGAAGGAGTGCCCGACGTGCCGCAGGGTGAGTCCGCCGTGAACTTCGAGCGTCCGATTTCAAACGGAACGTCATCTTGTGTGGCCATATGCGCTATGCGTGGCTCGCCCACACACAGACAAGCGTGTACTTCATTTAGTCAAGGACACTGCTCTCGATTTGAGAGCATAGGGATTGTAATTTGATCCAAAACAAGTGTATTAATGCCTTTGAATAATAATCTAGTACACGAAAAATCAAGTGCAATGCACAAATAACAAGGTTTTTTTTTTTTTTTTGATGGGCGACGTACCACGATACTGAATCGTTCCCAGGAGTTCGAGGTCGCCCCGGATGCACTCATCATCAACTTTGCTCTCCTGGGGCTGCATGAGCGACCAGACAGGTGAGCTCCTTATCTAGGATCGCAAACGCTCGGCCACTACCGCACCAGAGGCAGAGGACTGACTGCACCTTGTGGCCGACTGGGTTTGGGCGTCCGCTGAGTCACCACTCTGCTCCTCGACAGGCCGTCCCGCGGCTGGTGCTCGGACTGCCGCGCCTCCGCCGCGGCCCGCTGCTGGGGTGAGGAGCACGACGTTCTGCCCGAGAGGAGGGCCCTGAGGCGCCACCTGCAGAACGCGCTGCAGCAGGCGCCTGGGCAGCTGGTAGACCTGCAAGACCACTGCCAGGGAGAGCAGGTCGTCCAGGCCCTCACCCTGCTCACTGCAGAGTCCTGCAGCTTGACCCTCAAGGCCGGCAGCCACGAGCTGACGGGAAACGTGGGGAACACGGAGGACCCCCTCACCCAGCTCATGTGGCTGCTGGTGGCCGCGAAGGCCGGCCTCACCAAGGTATGTGTGCGGCTACTCGAGTACCGGGCGACTCAGAGGAATAACAGGTTGGCCGGGGTTGGCCTACCCGCTCTGCCCGTAAGGCGCCATAGACCCTTGAGTAGGCGAATCCGCCCGCTCCTGCGTCTGCTCTGAGTCACGAGACAAGATTCACAAAAATGTGTATTTCGACGAATAAACAAGTGCGTTGAGTGTGCGATTGTGGTTGCACGGTTGACCATCAATATACTGTCGCAGATAAAAACTTCCCTGGTTTCAAGTCGTGTAGGCCTACCGTGCATGCACATTACAATGCAGAACAATTTCGCAAAAAATTAAGAATTTGCAATTAGACCTTTCGTGCGCGTAAACCACCTTAGAGAAAGTTCTGTTTTAAACCTGTGCCTTTAAGTATCTCTTCCATACTTGCTGCTGTTACAGAGCCGGGCTGAAGCGCCGGGTCCCCCACCTGCCGCCGCGAGTCCCCCGCCCACAGCCCCAGGCCCAGCACCTCCAGAGGCGCGGCCGGTGCGGGAGATGGATGTGGAGTATGTCAGCTACACCGGACCCAGTGAGCGGCAGCACGACAAGGCGGCCCTCCTCGCAGCAGCGCCGGGGGTGAGTGTGCGGCCGGACCACGGCGACCAGCCTCGCGGGCGGCCGCGCCCGAGGAGCGTTGGAGCTCAGCGGCAGCCAGGGACGCTCGCGGTGGCGGCTCGCTGTGGCTCAGTCTCTCGCGCCGCCCTGCCTGGCTCAGACTGCGGCCCGCTGACAGCCCCTGAGAGTGACTCTGTTCTGCTGCAGGTGACCCGGCTGGTCAAGGTGTGGTGCCACATGGACCCCGCCTGGAGCCTCCAGCTGCTGCAGCGCGCCGCGCCCTCGCTGGAGCGGCTGAGTGTGATGTCCCCCCGCGAGGCCCACCTGCGCGCGGCGCACGCCATGCCGCGGCTGAGGAGGCTGGACGTGTATGGTGATGATGCCCTGCGCGCCCAGCCCCCCGAGCTGCCCGCGCTGCCGCCGGGACACGCCGGCCTGCAGTGGCTCAGGGTGCACTACCTCCCCCGCGCCACGACACAGTCCCTGCTGCGGGCGCACGGCGGCACGCTGGAGGAGCTGGTGCTGGTGGTGGGCACGGCGGGGGATGAACTGTGGCCAAGGAGCTGCGGCGACCTGCACTCACTGCTGCAGCAGAGCGGGCTGCGGGCGCTCAGGAGGCTCGTGCTGGTGAGGTCGGGGAGCTATGGCTACAGCCACGAGGCAGCCGCCTGCAGGGAGCAGCGCGCCGAGGTGCGGCGGGTGCTGCCCGGGGCCGAGGTGCTGTGCGACACGTGTGACAGCGTGGGGCAGGAAGAGGTCTAGCGGCGTTGCAGTTCCACCGCTGCAAAATGGAGCTTAAAGAAGGAAGGCCGGAGGCGCGACATGAGTACCTACAGGTGATGAATGGATTCAGAAGACCTCAATGAAAAACATTTTGAGTTAATCTTGTCAGACAGTCCCCAGTGCACAGAAGGAGACGTGTTCTTCGGAAAATACAACTCCACACTGAACTAGAAAATAAATAATAGCAATGATTATGTTTCGGCTAGTTTGTACTCTCCAGTCCCTCATCTGGTTGCTTCACTGGAGCCTGGCCATTTGGCTGGCGAACGGCTTCAGCTCGCAAACACATTAACATTTGGCTCATTTCTTTGTATTTCAGACGCTACTCAGAATTTCTAGATATCGGGGCACATAAGAACAGTATATGCCGGTCTCCGGTCTCAAAATTGAATTATCAATTCCTAGACGGAATACCGGAATACATATTTTGTTATTTTAATCTTTTTGATGGGGGGCATAAGTGTGTGTGAGACTTAATGACAATGCCTCACCTTTTTAAATGGCTTGTCGCCAGTTTGGCGGTAGATGGACAGTACATGGGGCGAAGGTACAAAAGGTCCCATGCTGGGGAAGGAAAGAGTGTGTACACACTGAGAAAAAAAATCTGTCTCAGCACTATACGTTTAGTCCCCAGATCGACGTTTTTTCGTTGCACTATACGTCTAGCGCTGGGAGCTAAACGTAGCATCCCAGGCAAAGAAAATTTAGAGCACAGCACTAAAACTCAATGGCAGGTCACTATCTCATTTTGAGCTAGGACAAAAGTCGGGAGCATTAGACGTACGTTTAGTGCCCGGACAGAAATATTTTTCTCAGTGCATTGATATGTACTGTACAAAGAGAAAGCCGATAGGACCAAACGGCTGGGCGGTAGCAGCCGTACGACAGTGGCCGTAGTGGCAGTGGTAGCGGTAGCAGCACCGCTCGCGTCACCCGCCGCATAAACTACAACTTTGGTCATTCCCCCGAGTTGGGCGTCACAGTGCCGATATGCCCCAACTGATATTGCAAGCTGAAGCCGAGCCCGGCCGAGCCGAATCGGGAGCCGCCAGGCCAGGAGTAGGCGAGAAGAGTGCGCGAGAAGAGCGAGCGAGAGGAGAGTGCGAGAAGAGTGTGAGCGAGAAGAGTGTGAGCGAGAAGAGTGTGAGCGAGAAGAGTG